AACTCAATAAAATATATTAAAAAAAAAATAAAAAAAAATAAAATGAAGACTGTAATAAGAGACAAAGAAGGGCATTACATAATTATAAAGGTGTCAACCCAACAAATATCCTATCTAATAACAGCCAAACATGGTAATTGACCATACCTTTGCTACACCTCCCATTGGCTAATCAGTGAGATATGCAAATTAACTGCCAACAAAGATGGCGGCTAATTTGCATACTGCAGGCAGGGTGGGACAGCGCGAGCCGCCAGCGTGAGCTGCCATCCAGGCCCCCGTGGACGACCCCAGGAGCTGCCTGCCTGCTGCCCGGGACCCGATGATCTGGTCCCGGGCAGCAGGCAGGCCCGCCCCGCAAGCCCCAGAAGTCGCCAGATATGGCAGTAACTCTATCGGTAAGCACTCTGAAAGTCACTGGCATAAATGCACCAATTAAAAGACAGATTATGAGGGTGAATCAAAAACAAAACCCACTTTAAATATAAAGACACATATAGATTAAAAGTAAATGAAGTAAGCTGCAGTCTGTTTTGCTCAGTGGATAGAGCATTAGCCCTTGGACTGAAGGGTCCCAGGTTCGATTCCAGTCAAGGACATGTACCTCAGTTGCTGGCTTGATCCCCAGTCCCTATCAGAGCATGTGCAGGAGGCAACCAATCAATGTGTCTCCCCCTTTCCCTTCACTCTCTCTAAAATTAAATGGAAAAATATCCTTGGGTGAAGATTAACAAAAACAAAGTAAATGGATTAAGTAACATTAAAGAGATTATAAGAAAAATATATTCCAAATTTTGTTAGTTGTACAGTGGGGCCTTAAATTACGAGTTTAATTCGTTCCGTGACAGAGCTTGTAACTCAAATTACTCGTATGTCAAATCAATTTTCACCATTACAATGACACATGATGCTGGGCTGATGTTGTGGCGTTCACTGTGACGTTCGCTGCGCCAACTAGCGATGGGGTATCTGAAGCTGGCTCGTAACCCAAATTTTAGCTTGCAACTCAAAGCAAAAAATCGGCCGAGAGACCGATAATGAGTATCTCGAAAAACTCATTAGTCGGGACACTCGTAAGTCAAGGCCCCACTGTATAATGGTTATGTTTAAATTATTAACACCTAAGAAATTGGGTGACGGGTACATATAATATTTTATTTCAAATTAAAATATTAAAAAATTAAAAATTAATAAAATATTAATTGAAATGTATCTGCATTACATGAAAAATCTCCTAATTGCTTCTAGCATAATTTATTAAATTGTGCTAAAATTTACAAGGGTTCAATTAAAAGATATCTTAATTCTAAATGGTATAATAGAAAATATATAATAGTGCAGTATAAGCACTTATCTAAAAATAAAAATTTAAAGAAGGGATTTAAAGGAGGGATTAGCCAAAGAAAATATATG